CCTCGAGTTCGTTACACAGTGCAAACAACTGTTTCCGGAAGTGAAAGCACCAGAAAATATATTAAGTCATACGTAGCTGTCATCCGTACGCAAGAAAGTAAGCACCAAGATCCCGAACACACTTAGCAGGATGCAGCGCACCCTTCATGCGACTCGCCGAATGTCTCACGGCGCTTCGCGCTTGGTGATGTGAGAGCCTGGTCCGGTGAGAACCCGGCGTGCTCCGTCCCGGCTTTGTAGGGATGCGAGGTCAATGGTCTAACGACTACGGCATGCACGAATATGAGTACACCCCTCCCCCACCCCCACGTTTCAGACCAGGCCAGAAAAGAAGGGGGCGTTGCCGGTGCTACGGATAGGTATTTCCTGCAAGCCCAGGGGGGGTGGGAACTCGGTGGGAGCAGCACAAGGGTCGTTCCGCCTCTCACATTCGCATCTGATCTCTCCTTGCTTCCTACTAGCGAAGAGTCGTTGCTGGAACCCTGGTTCTGCTCCCTAGCAAACTCCGCGGGCTGCGTGCGAGTTAGACAGAATATCCAGCGCAAAAGCAAACGCGGATTAGAAGTCTTGAGTCGGAGAGACTACACCCTAGGGTGAGCATTACGAGCGACAGGCGCTTTTCATGCGTGAAGAATTATACGAGAGAGGCTTGGGTCCGTCGTGGACAGCGAGCCTAAAATCACAAGAAATGATACTGGTATGCACAACAGGCCGACAAGCGCAGAGTTTTGATGAGGCCGGCGAACGCCTTAAAGCGGACGGGCTTCCCACCAACACTTTAATGAAGCATGCAACAGATAATAGGAGGTTTTGTTATTGGCGGCGCCTTGCGAAGCCGCTGAACCTCTCGGATCTTCCTCCTTTGGCGCATGTTTGCCATGCTGGTATTGGGGGAACGCCTTCGCGGGAAATTGAGTATTCTAAGGAATTAGAAGAGCAGGGAGAGAGTACGTAGATCCTATTCCCCAACCCTAACTCTAACCCAACTACCCCGACTGTATGCTTCATCGAGCATGTTTGATTAATACGAAAAACCCCGCGAAGGCAACTGGTATTCGGCTACACCACCGACTCTCCAGGCTCATGTAGAAACGGGGTCAGGGAGGAACCGGGAAGAAGGTGGGGCGTGCCGGGGGGGCTTATTCGGTCGGTTTCATCGTTGTCTCGATCATTCAAACAGAACATGCGCTTTCGAGACTGTGGACACCGCCGTTCCAATTCCGAAAAGAAACAGGAGGATGATCACCCTCCGAAACAGAAACTGAACGAGTACTAGCGGTGAGGGGTCTGAAGAGGAACATCTGGGACGTTTCGTGGATTGGGCGCAGTACTTGGCTCCCTAGATACTATTCGGCACTACAGTAGGGGGCCCTCTATAGTGCCGGTATGTATTCAGAGAGCAAAGCGGCACTATACCGGGCACCGGCACTATTCAGAGTACAGAAAGACTTGATATTCCGGTGTGTGCGAGCCGAAAACACCGGCACTATACCGGCAACCGGCACTATTCAACCGGCACTATATCGGGCCACCCACTGTACTACGTCAAACGCTGGACTTTGCCGTCCTTGTAGTTTGCTCTGTTGGTAGAGCTTTACGTTGCAGCAGAGACCTTTGGATATCGCTGGCCGTTTCGTTCGGTAGGGCGGATGAAACGGCTCCGACACTGCCGCCGGCTCGTTTTGGGGTGGAAACAATGCCTTCGACAGCAACGGCAGAACTTACGTTGAATGTCTTGAGCTCCGGCGGCTGCGTCCCGACGTTGGAGATCCTGCGACGGATGGTGTCGAGCTGCTTCTGCTTCACGCCGCCGTCGGCCTCTGCCCGGGACTGTCAACAATCGCCACGCATCCAATCACATTATCAATGAGACGCGCTCCAAGGCTATGCCACAACCGTGGTTGAGGCGCTCCCTCTTGTCGCCGATGGCGGGGTGGCTTCTCCCGCCGGAGAATTTTCTAGCGAATCACTGAGATCTGCGACAATCTTGACTAACCAGATGGTGGGGGTCGTTGCGCTGGTGCTACAACAAACTAATGCCTACTTTTTCCCAAATCTGCGCCGGGAGCACCCAGTGAAAAGACTTCAACGCATTATTTCAATTGGGTCATACTCTGGAACGGGCAGCCTTTCTGTGATTGCATGTACTATATTCAACTACTATCGTTCCCGAATAAGTGGTGTTGCCGAAGTCGCATCAAAAACTTGGATTCTCGGCGGCAATAGCTCAGTGGTCATTGCGATCAGAGTTATTTGCGGCCTCGCAACCCCAGTCCTATCAAGCGCAGCAGTAGTAGGCGAATGGCTAACGTCTCGTGGCTCCACACGGCACGTCATCATCCACCCCATGATCTTTGCGATGTACGTATGAACCGTTGCCAGCCATGCCCTACCTTCTATCCGACAAATATACCACAAGAATAGAAGCGATACTCGATACCCTCTTGCACACCTTGTTGATGGCCTCCCAGGTCTTGTCGATCGCCAAGCTTCCCCGCCGGCCTCCTTTGATCCCAAGACCGTGCCGCGTCGACCTCCGCCTGTGATGACCCTTGCTCTTTTTTCCTCCCTCGCCCGTTTCCTCTTTTTGTTGTTGTCCCAAGCACGATTTTATCAGGGGGGGGGAGTGCAATGGAGGTGAGAACGAAAGAGGGGCCACGAAAAAGCGGTAGTTCGCGTTCTGATTCATCCTCTTCCGAAGGGCCGGATTATCTAGCATTCTCCCGTCTATTCTGGAACTCATGTGACCCAGGGGTGGGTGCTTCCAAACATGTGCTGCCGAAAGTGCAGGAACGCCGCCCCGAAAAAAGAACAGGGGTGGCATAGGCACGCTGCTGCTATTTCGCTGAGTGTGCACGCACGGCGTTGTTATTGAAACCCAACCACTCGTCATGCCGAGCGCTTCGCTCTCGACGGGTGCTCCTACGAGGGTAGCACAAGACGACTGGCAATCCAAACCCACGCAAGCATTACAAAACCCCCACAAACCCAAGCCTCACGCTTCGCGCAACACAGAGTTTACCTGACATGGATGCATCCGATTGACTGGCGTTTTCCCCCAACGAGCCGGAGGAGACGGACTCGCCGGAAAGCACCCTGTTTGTGTTGCTACTGCTGCCGGTGTTGCTGCTGCTCTCTTTCCGCCGGGGTGCCACGTGCACGGCCGCCTCTACCTCCGCGACGTTGGCTTTGCCGACGGAGTACCTCGCCATCGACGGGATGTCCGACAAGTGCCGGATTCGGTCCATGATGATCTGCGCCGAGGGGGGTGCGTGCATGCGTCGTGTCATGGTATCGAGGGTTGCGGCAGCGAAATTCTTGTGGTCGAAGTTATTATGCGACGAGGTACGGAGAGCGTGAGTGTTTATTGCGCGTGGGTGAGCGTGTGTCGGCGTGAGAGGAGGGGGTGTGCCCGCTGGGCTTGG